TTAATCCTAACAATAGACTTGATAGACTGGTTCTAGTCCTGTGTCCATGCTTCACTACATGTGGATTTCACCTTTTCTGCCCCTGATTTTATAATGAAAGAGGAATGAATGAAGAATGAATGATTTCTAAACATTGTTTATGTTAGGGAAAATCACATAAACCAAAATCCCAGAAGAAGAGTCTTAGGAACATGTCGACATTAACTTTTAATTGGCTTTTGTAACTATTAAGATGAAGTTTAAATGTAATTATTCATGGTATTCAGTAAGAAAGCTGTAGAAACTTAGCATCCAGTTGATCCTTGGAGGGCTTATATTCCCTGGATTTATATTTTGGAAATAACTGCTACAAATTATATAGACCTTAACCCATCCCTACAGGGACTTGTTTATTGTCCTTCTCAATTTAAAGTAAGTTTTGAAATAAAATACAGATTAAATAACTTCTGCAAATATAGTATTCCCATTGGATAGCTTCTATCTTTACTATACTAATTTTAACTTCATACTAATTACTTTAACTCCTTTGAAAGAAATTAAAATGATTAGCTCGCCCAGCGTCTAGTGAGCTGTATACACCTTCAAAATTGTGTTTATCTCTTAACAAATTTCAGTCTGGATTTTTCATTTTATTATTTTTCTTGAGGAAAAGTCAGCTATAGACTTATTCCACTTTTGGTTATTATTATTTTTAGGAATTCATATAGGAAGTTTATGAAAATAAAATTCAAAACATAATTATTATCTCATTTCAAAAAAAAAAAAAAAAAGGATTGAGGTGGTTGCAAGAACAATATAATGCCTTACAGTTTTTTTCCTTAATCTTTTTTTCACCTTAAGGATGAGAATGGGCTTTGGGCCAGGATATGAAATGGATATGTAAATTTTCCTGTGAATTGAATTATGTTTCTTGACCATGGAGGGAAAACTACAGATTTTCTCCTCTACACTCAAGATAGGGTTTCATTCCTGTGACGTGTATAGTTATAACATCTAACTGTTGTTGGAAGGAACTGTCAAAAGTATTCTAAAACCAATTTGTATTTTGTCAGATATTTTCTAAAATTTTAGTAGTTTATGTTCAGGAAAACTTATGATAGTACGTTAATTTGTCCCAGTTTTGGGGGGACTCTTATATCACCTAATGATTCTAAGTGGTTTTCCAGGCTGTGCTGGTTTTTTTAAAAGGAAAAAAGAAATGAGTCAGTGAGGCATTCTTTAGGTTCTTCTGTGACCATGGTTAATATGTAGTAACTTTAGAATATTTTTCAGCCAAAATTTTTTTGGCTAGATTCTATGGTGTACAATTTTGGAGGGTTCTTAGCCACAGGAACAAACTCCCTTTTGTGTGATTTGTTGCATGAATATTGGGTTGCTCTTAGAATTACTAGGCAGACTGGAGATGGAACAGAGTCAAGCGACACCCCCAGAGCCACGACCAGTCCACGACCCTGTCTCATGAGGGTCCCCCTGCCGGTACCACTGAACACTGGATACCAGTACTTGAGCCACTGTCCCAATTGGAACTGGACACTCACACTCCTCCCCTGGTCCAGGATTCTGTTGTGTCCCCACCTCTGCTGTCAGATGAGTTCTCCTTTAGCCCCGTTCCTGTGCATCACCAGCTTCAGATTTAAAAATCTAGAGTATGTGTATTAAACTGGCCTTCCTGTGCCTCATATCTGTGCCCTATGGAGGCAGGAGTCTGGAAATGTCCATATGTGGTTTTTTTGGTCTTTAATTTGAGATAAACTCTGTTTCCACCTAGACTCACAGAGTAGAAAATTCTCTAAATATGGAGAAGTGGTTCAGATTCTAGGCAGAAAAAAATAGATGTCCACTCCAGGGCTAGTCAAGCAATTGTTCATGAGCTGAAATGAAGCTAATACTGCTTCCTAGAGAAATTCTACCTGGCAGAAATGGGCATTGAAATCCTTGGTTTTATTGGAATTTTGTGCTGGATTTTCTTTAATTTGCCATTCCTAATAATGAAGTAGCTGGGAAACATTCTGTTAGTCTGGTAGAATTCTGCCTTGATACAGTGAATACAAACATTCCCTGCTGTGTTCATTTGAAATAGGAGCAAGCATTTTCTATATTTTAGTGACATATGGTGCTAAGATTTTGTCATACTTTCTTATAAAGAGCCAGGAAACTTTTCCTGCTTAAAACTGTGTTTATAAACAATAGACTTACGATGAATATTCCCATCTGTTAGGTGAACATAATTTTTGTAGGAATTCCCATAATAGGTGGAGGGCTTTGCAATGTTTTTGTGTATTTTTTCCCTGGTGAGACATTAGACTAAAGAGATGGTACAAAACAGCATATGCCTAATATTCAATTTTGTGTCTGTTTCTCCGTGTTGTTTGAAAGCAGTGCTGTTTTTGTGCATTATTGCATAAGATTCCTATAGAAATCCATAAGAACTTAAGATCTAATTAGGATACTGCAAAAAGAAAAAAGTAAAATGAGTAACAATTTTATAAATATGGTTATGTTGCAATGATAAAACTCTCCTTGTAGTTTTTCAAATATGTACTCCAATGACCTGGGCTATTTTTTTCCAAAAACTTTTGTTGACTTTGTTTTAACCTAATCTCAAAACTCTTCTTTATTACAATCACATTATATAATAATCAAAACTGCTCATCCTTCTAGTCCTGATTTGTAATTTAAATAAATGGCATTGATTGTTTGTGTTCATTTTGATGTTATTCTGATTGTCTTCACTAATTAATTTTGTTTGAAATGAACCATTCCTCATAATAGAATAAAAATTTTAATATTAAAACTCAGCAATACTTTTTCTTTTCATAAAAGATTTTATTAATCCTGCCATAGGATGTCAGGAAGGTTATCAGAGAGAAAGAATACTTTGATTAATATTTGCTTAATGCTGAATTACTTGTATTGTCCGAATGTTTTATTCACTTAAAAATTATGCCTGTCAGTTCCTTTTTCAGGTTGACTAATTGCACATACTGAATAAAAAGATGAGCAATTAGTTGAATATAAGTGATTCAAGGTATGCTTAGGAACTGAGCAAATAAAGCATATCATATACTTTGTCTTTTACCTGATTTTTTTTTAAGTTTCTGTGATTATACTTTGTAAAAGGAAATATTTTTAAATTGCAAACTATTACCAGAGCATTTTTTTTAAGGATAACATTACTGTGTTTTGCTTTTTTCAGAAAATAGGCTATGATTTGAGTGGATTTTAACTTTTTTTTTTCCTTATAATTTGCACCTCATTATGTGAAAAATATCCCAGCTTAAGTCTTACTCTTATTTTTTACCTGAAAATATGATCCATTTATGTGGATTTTAACTTTTTTTTTTCCTTATAATTTGCACCTCATTATGTGAAAAATATCCCAGCCTTAAGTCTTACTCTTATTTTTTACCTGCAAATATGATCCATTTACTCAATTGCAATGTACATTTTATTTTTTAAATGAGGTATGACTGACATACACAAAGCTGCACATATCTAATGTATAAACTTGATGGGTTTGGAGATAAGTATGCACATGTGAGACCATAACCACAATATATGGCACAAACCTCTTTATAACCTCCAAAAGTTTTTTCCCACCCTCTTTGTTATTATTATTATTTTTGTGATAAGAGCACATGAAATCTAACCCTTTTAGTAAATTTTTAAATATACAATACAGTATCGTTAACTGTAGACAGTTTGCTATACAGTAGATCTCTAGGACTTATTCATCTTGTATAACCGCAACTTTGTGTCCTTTGATACCTCTCTATTTCTTTTCCCCCCCAAGACCCTGAAGAATTTGACTGTTTTAGGCTCACCAATGCTGTCGTGTAGTATTCTGTGTCTGGCTTATTTTACTTACCGTAAGGCTCCAGGTTCATCCATGTTGTTGCAAATGGCAGGATTTCCTTCTTTTTTAAGACTGAATAATATTCTATTGTGTGTATATATCACGTTTTCTTTATCCATTCATCTGTCAACAGACACTTTGGTTGTTTCTTTATCTTGGCCATTGTGAATAATACTGCAGTGAACATGAGAGAGCACATATCTCTTTGAGATTCTGATTTTAATTTCTTTGAATATATACCCAGAAGTGGGATTGCTGGGTCATATGGTAGTCCTATTTTTAATTTTTTGAGGGACCTCTGAACTGTTTTTCATAGTGGCTGTGCCAATTTACATACTCAACAACAGTGTACAAGCGTTCCCTTTTTCCCTTTCCTTGCCAACATTTGTTATTGTTTATTTTTTTGATAATATCCTAGCAGCTGTGATGTGATAGCTCATTATGGTTTTTGGTTTGCATTTCCCTAATAATTAGTGATGTTTAGCACCTTTTCACATTGTTGGGCATCTTTACATATTGTTGTCCACACACTGGTGACTGGAGAAAGAGCGTGTCCAGATGCCATTGCTTTCTTTACCTTAATGACTTCTATATCTCTTCCTGAAAATGTTTGAACTTTCACATAGAGTAATGTGACACATTATGTTAGGACTGTGCCAGTTCTAGAAATAATTTCTAGAAACTCTGAGGTTCTCAGAATTATGAATAATTTTTATTGAAATGTGTAGTTTAAATGCAATGAATTTTAACTAACATTTCTCATCTATTCACCCAGTCATGAGTAATATCTACTATGAACGAGCTTCAAAAAGTTCGTGGAAAAATTGAATTAAAAGATAATACAGATATTTCCATGAACTGTTTGAAGACCCCCTGTATGTTCATAGCACTGTGCTAAGCAGCAGGGATACAATGATGAATAAAACAGATTAAGATCCTAGCTTCATGTAATACTTATAACCTAGCTGGTGAGACAGATACTGATGAAATAATTTCATAAATAAACTGCAGGTGTAGTTAATGTCTTGGTCAGGGAAGGATTGCACAGGTTACCAAAAATAAAATATTTGTTGAACACCTACTAGATGAGATGCCAGTGCTGTTCTAGATATAACCATTAACACTTCTTTTTGATATTTGGCAGGTATATTATTCCATCTTTACAGAAGCTGGATGCTGGGTTTTACCGCTGCGTGGTGCGAAACCGATTGGGAGCACTCTTGCAAAGAAAATCACAAGTTCAAGTCGCATGTATGTGCACAGTAAAGGAGTCTCCATCTGTTAAAGAACAGAGACAAACTGTCTGTGGGGCGCGAATCAAAATCACTTTTAACCAGTGTAGGAATTGAGATTTTATCTTTGAATCTATAAGTATAGAATAATTTCTAAAATCGGTTCAGAGATAATAAACAGCTAGTGTGGCTGCTCAGATGGGGGTAGAAGGTGGGTTCTGCCAGTTTTTTCATTTGAAAAGATTAAAGACCCTGTGAGGCACTGGGGAGGATTAAAAATGAATAAGATGCTTTCTGTTTTATGAATCAGTTAGTTGTACTTAGCTTATATTATATTTGGATTAAAAATATTTTTAAAATAAAGGACTAAACACATTTAGGTCAAATTTCATTAATTCATAATCAGTTGTTTCCAGCGATGATTTGTTTAGAAATCTTTTTGCTGCACTATAAAAAGTACAGGGATAGTAAACGTCCCAGATCATATTAATACTATACTGATTTATTTATTCTTTATTGAGCAAATCCATTTGGAGAATGAAACCTTTGAAAGTAACTGAAGGAGGTCTCAAAATGCTGGGAGCTTGAATTTTAATATAGTGTTTAGGAGGTATAGGAGAGTGAACTTGGTCTATGCAAAGCATTTAGTCCTTTTTCTAGTCCAAAATCTGTAAATGGTAGGATCTATCTAAAATAGTCTGTCTGCTTTACTATATTTTGAATTTACTACCAAAATGTCTCTATTTTTGAAAGTAAGCATAAGATGTTATGAAATTTTAAATTACATTTTTATATGTGATTATAGATTTTAGAGAATACTAAAGAACTCCTAAATTGGGCTATTATTTGGTAATGACAGTATTTCCTCATTTGTCATTTTGATCTCAGTTAAAGCCTGTATCTGCCAGTGTTACTGTACAAAATAAAATAATATCTAGTTATTCCGCTAATATACCATAAGTACTAATGACTGAGTGAGGTTCTGATGCTATACATGTATAATTATTTTCTTAAATCACTAGGAAGGCTTCAGTTTTTCTGAATTGTGGTGATGAAGTCACTTAGCTAAATCTGTAGAGTAATTGAGAACTTTTATTCAATTGAAAACACAGTAAATAACGAGTACAGATCAATACCCAAGACATGTTTGAATAAGTTAAGAGCTTGGAATTTATTATAATATATTAAAGTCTATTTTCTAAAATTGTTTTGGACTTTTTCTTGCTTAGTTACTTATATCTTTGTTTTTATCCTTTATCTCTAGCTCTTAGATTTTCTTTTATCTTCCTTTACTCATTTCCTTTGATAACAAATTTTACTTTACTTTAAAATACCATGGATATTTTCCTAATCTGTTTCATTGGTTTGTTTCATCTTTTCCCTCTGGTATGAAACACTATCACATAGAAAATAATTTCTTTTGAATCAAAAACACATTGCTTGATAGAACTCTTCTATGGAATAATTCAAACTTATGTACATTTAGACAAAAATATGATATTTTTGCCATATCTGTGTATATGCACATTTATGTGTATCTGATCATAATACAGAATTTTTTCCAAAATTTCAAATGTTATTAATTTAAAAATAAGCAGTTTATCTCCACATTCTAATGGCTTTGTTTTTTCCTGTGACCTCATTTTTTAAAGAATGTTTTTAACCAATTGAATAAAGACTGGAACAAAACCTAGCTAACCCAAATTAAGTCATCACTGTGGGGGTGGTGGGAGAACTCTCTGTAAACTTTTCAGTGGTTAGACAATATTGCTCCCAAAAGATTTGTTAGGGAAATAGTCACCTCAGAAATGAAGAGAGAGAGAAACTGAGCAGAGCAAAGCCCAGTGCTGGGATAGCTTCTTGAAAGATTTGGTGGCTAAGAGATGTCTAAAAGCATTTTATTACAGTTTCTGTGGAAATTCCATCATGTGGCAGTAGGATGCTTTTCAACAATTTATTTAATGTCACAGTCAGTTGCAAACATTTTATTGTATTGTTGCAGTAAGACAAAGACCACATGGCTCTGCTGCTTAATGCACTTCTTGGGTACTTTGGAGGCAGGTGGCTCACAACCAGATCTGCATTCATCAGCACTGCTGTTCACTTTTACTTGTCTTGTTAAGTATAGCATCAGTGACTTTACTATAAAGTACAGTTCTATCTCTGACCCCTCTCCCCAAACAAAGAGTTTTCTAGATCTGAGAAGGTCTAATTTTTCTCTGCAGATATGGGAAATTTCATGGATACAGACCAGAGGAAAACAGTTTCTCAAGGACATGCAGCAGTTCTAAACTTACTGCCTATCACCAGCTGCCCCAGACCTCAAGTGACTTGGTTTAGAGAAGGACATAAGATTATTCCAAGCAACAGAATGTAAGTTGCTCCAAACATTAAAGCTTCAAGTACAATTCATTACAGTTGTTGACACCATTTACATAGTAAGTGTACTGACTACCATAACTGATGATTTGAAAAAAAATGACCTAGTGTTCCTACGCAGTCCTTAATAAACAGCCGTTTTAAGACTGGCTTGGATACTTTTAACCAGTTGAAGAAAATAGCCATGTGATATTATTCTTCAGTATGGTGCATGCCCTAAAAGTAAAGCACCCTTACCTACTCTTTGCAGTCCATTTTTTCTTTTTTTGGATGTACTTTTTAAGATGTCATTGTCATCCCTGAGTTGTGGTTAGCTTCAAGTACTAATTTAATGAGTGCTGCTATTTACTTACAGAGCTTTGGGGTTTTTTCCCCTCTTTTCATTGAGCCATGTTTGATACTACTTTCTTTGATGGTAAAACAGTAATTACTGCTTATTTCTCTTTATCCTTTTATCCTGCCATGACAGTTTTATTTTCCTTCGTCTAATTAGTGGTTTGCTCATCTATTGCATAACAGTTGCTTTGAGATTAGTTAAGCATTATTTCAAGGTGTTCTTGCCTATCCAATATTCAAGATTTTTATCTAATACCTGACAGGTTTTTTTCATTTGGAACTTTAAGGGATTTAAAAAGAACATTGTTATATATTTCATAACTGGGCATTTTGCAATCTAACTTAAACACAATATTCCAAATATAAAAGTTTCAAAGATGAATATTACCAAAAGGCTGTAAGCTTAGGCTAAAAGTCAAATATTTATGCTGTCAGGTGGTTGTACTCAGATAAAACTTCATGAGGGGGAAAAAGCTCTTGTTTATGTTTTGTTTTGTTTTTCCAAAAAGGATATGTGTAAGACAATTTGCTGAATAGATTTTAAATGTAATTATGAAAGTGACTGTGTGGTACAAACTCTCTTCCCTTCTACCTGAGCATTCATGGAATCCCTTCTCTAAGCCTAGATGTCTTCAGTTTTCCTTCTGGGCATCTGAGATCTGCTTGAATCTAGACTATTCCTGAGCTTATTTAGCAAATGTTTCTATTTTGGTTATTGGAAACAGGAAAAAAATGAAATACACACACACACACACACATATATATATATAAGCCTTATTTAGAAACTCTGGTAAAAATACCAATAACCTTATCCTTTTCTCTTTATTTTATTAAAAGTTACTTAGGTGTCCACTTTTGTATTGATTCCAGTCATAACAGATGCCTTCTGAGTTTGGTTAAAATAAAGATGAAGGATCAATTTCTAATTCTTAGTGCACTCTTAAGTTGGAGAAGAGGCAGCTAAGATATATTCTTGCATAAATATTCACTGTTTGGATGGGTAAGGTCGGGATAAGTGCTGGGGGTGAGTTGGTTCCAGATGTGGGGAGGTAGATTGAGTTAGGCTTCCTCTCAAACACTGGATCTTTAATTAATGTCAATGGCAGCAAAATTCATGGTGGGAGGATTATTGTAGCTCAAATAAGTATGTATTAATGAGTATGTATTAATTCATTTGCTAACCTGTGGTCTATGTGAGACAACACTTATTCAAAAAGTATGAAAAGGTATAGAATGAAATAACTCAATTTCATAAGCTTTTTTTTCAACTTGCCAATTTATGCTAAAGACTTTAATTCCTGGTGAGCTAATAAAGATGCTAGTAGGGCTTTAACTTAGTGTCATATTAAACAAATGGTCTGCTTACAACTGTGAAGGTATTGATAAATCTCTAATCTCAGTAAAATGATATGGTGGTATGTGGCTTTTTTGGAGATGAGATGAGGTTGATTATGGATATTTACACTTTTGCAAGGCCCTTTAGTTTCGTGTTTTCCACCTCATCATCACCCAGTACTTATTAAGTACCTGCTGTGCAAGATATCATAAATCAGTATGTGCATGGTTTTCTGCACAAGTTTATACATCATTCAAAGATGTATTGCTTTCCACTTCTAAGAAAGTTTAGCTTTTGACTGAAGATGGAAGGGTATTTCTGCATTGCTCTCACCCAGATGGTTGGCAGACAAAAGTCAGATGGCATTACATCTGTTCTGCACCACCAGAGGTACCATTTACAGCTGAAACATTTGGTCAGTGTGTTTTGCACATATTGAACACAGGTCAAGCTTCTGCACCTGGTTTTAACTTCCTTATGTGAAGTCAGTTCCCTAACACAGTGGGAGAGATGTACCTTTGTCATATGATGAAGGAACCTGATCTCCTCTCCCCCAACCCTCCTGTTTTTTTAACATTATCTCACAACTTCTAAAATGTGAGCTTTAGGCTTACAATTAAGTGATTTTTTTTATATATATTTTCAAGGGAAACAGTAAGTCTAATGTTTCCCAACTTGAGAAATTTGTTGAATTAATAATTGTAACAGCATCTATTACTTATTGAGTACCTACTTCAAACATATCTTCTCTAATCCTCACAGTTGCCTTCTTAGGCAGGTTTGATTAGCTCCACTTAAAGCCATCAGAACTAAAGAAGAGAGATGTTAAACAACTTACCCAAGGGCACACAGTTAATAAATGGCAGAGTTAGGATTCAAACCCAGGTCCGCTTGACTGTAAATCTCATGCTCTTTTCTGTATCAGGTTAATTATTCTTTTCACTTTATTTGCTGAGCCTTCTTTGTGCTTTTGATTCTTTTGTCCATGTATTTCTTCAGTCTTTTTTGCTCCTCTTTTAGAAGACTACCTTCCAATTTGAAATAACATAGATTAACCTGGGTTTGTGTAGAGGTGGTGAGGAGCATAGATACTGATATATTTTGAATGTAGAATCAGTAGGATCTCTTTCTGAATTAGATATGGGATATGAGAGAAAGAGACAAGCCATGGATAACTGAAGATATTTGGCCTGAGCAACGGTTAGGATGGAGTTACAATTCCTTGACATGGGGAGTTGATTTTGGGAGAGGTAAGTTTTGTGTATATGTGTGTACAGTTTGGTGGTGGTGTGTGTGATTTGTTTTGGATATGTTAAGTTCGAGATGCATATTAGATAGCCAAGAGGAGCCAATGATTAGATAGGTCAAGGTCATCAAAGAGGTCTGGGTTAAACTTGGGGAGCTGTTAGTGTGTTAATGGTATTTCAAGTTCTTTATGAACCTAAGAATTATATAAGCCAGAAGGCCAAGCCCAAAGAGTTCCATTGTATCAGTTGAAATGCTCTTGGTTGCAAGTCACAAGGTGGATTTGGCTGTTTTATGCAAAAAAAAAAAAAAAAAAAAAAAAAAAAAATTACTGGAATATATGGAGAATTACAGAATCAAACCAATAGGAGAGGACTCAGCAGTCACCAGGGCTGCTCCTGAGACCCAAGGAGTATGAAGCGAATCAGTCCTAATTCCTGGAACTTGCAAACATGTTAGGTTACATGGCAGAGGGGAACTAGGTTGCAGAAGCAATAAAGAATGAATGCAGGTGAAAAGGTGGGGCAAAAGTAAAAAGGCAGTCTTATGACTAGTACAGTAAAGATTTAGGATCCATACCAGATGACTGGTACATATCCAAATGCAGCTCTTGCAGCATCTTACTTTCAGTATTTATCCACTGAGCATCATGTTCTAGTATCTGTGACCTGTGCATTCCAGGGGAAAGAGATCCAATTCTCCCAAACTTCATTTGCTCCCCACTGGGAGGAGAAAGGCTAAGCAGTTCTTCTTTTATATAGTATAAGTATGTAGTAGGGGTAGTTCACCGGATTTGTTTTGACCACCTCTTAGCAAGTACTCTTTAGAATGCTTGGGCTCTCAAAAACACCATTGTCCTAAGATTTTATGGCTTCAGTCAAAACTAAGACAAGAGAAAAAACTTTATTTAGCATTCTGTTATTCTATCTTTAATAAGTTGTTTCCATTTGTAGGTCCTGTCTTCTCAAATAGTTTTCTAAACCCCATCTCCCCAAGTACTGCCTAAAGCTTCATTTTTACAATTATATCCAGACTGTTGGTATGCATCGCAGATATTGTATGACTTTTCTTTTTTTTCCATGACTTTTCCTCACATTCATTCATTCAACTGCTGAACTGTATTACTGCAGATATGCAGATATTACTGCAGATAGGCAGTAATATTGTTCAGTTTTTGAATGAATGAATGAATGAATGAGAAGAAAGTTATGGAATATCTGTAAACTTCCTTAGCAGAAGGGGGGAAAAAATAACAAACCTCAAGAAAAATGCTGTTTGAGGAAGCAGGAAAATATTTTGGAAGGGCAAACAATATTTTGAGAGAATTGAGAATGAGTTATATCCAGAATTTTGAATAGGTAATTATAGGTAATGTTTATCTGAAAAAGTGAAAAAATGCATGTTTATTTCTCTGATTTACTGATTCCAAACAGTTTACTGCCTTTACATATCAAAGATGTATATAGCTTTGTCTCATAAAGTCTAATTTGATAATAAAATTGTTCTGTGTTATTTTGGTTTAGATATATGGTTTTTGTTTCCTTTTATTTCTCAAAATATGAAATGTGAATGTTGATGCCATGCAATATTTCTCTTACCTCCAGGAGGTAATTTATGTCAGCAGTTATCAGATTAGGATGCAAAAACTAGTTTAGTACAATGCCATTCTTTTGCTTAATTGCAGGTTCTTATGTTCAAATTGCATCCTTTAGCCTACCTGACAGGAATGTGTAAGCACAAGTGTTCTTTGCATGTGCTTTCCTGGAAATGCAAAGTTTATAGATTAAATATTTCAAACTTCCAGTTGGCTTTGCGATAAATGACTTGCCAGTAATGATCTAGATTATGAAGTATGGGCAGTAAACAGCATCCCAGGTGACTTGGAAACATTCTGACTCATAATTGTCCATGCTTAAATACTTGAACATCCATTAACTTATTACCATTTCATTTCAATTGCTTTGAGAAAGATTTGTTTAAATTAGTACTTGTATTAGAAGTCAAAACTTAATGCTTGAATGAAGTAGATCTGGTTGTAATAATATTTTTTATAGTTAACTGGGCCTTCAAAATAATGTGCTTTAAAAATTTTTATATTATATTTTATGGGCGT